CACACACACACACACACACACACACACACACACACACACACACACACACACACACACACACACATCACATATTAAATCAGTCAATCGCGGGAGTTGGCACTAAATCCGAACATGCCCGGACACAAACCGTGACCTCCTTTTAGCTGTCAACACTCCTAAAAAAAATTATGTATTTAGAGACACACACACACACACACATACACACACACGTATATAGTATAAGAGAGAGTGTAGAGCGCACAGGTGCCTGCCAATCAAAGGCCAAAAAGAGCACATTCACACAAGTCTCGCTTTGCAAACACAAGTGCTCCTGATTAGTATGCTGAGCTGCAAAATCTAGGTTACTGCTCCACTGAGCACTAACTGGTTTGATCACTGAAAGGAACGGCGTTGCTCCAACCACTTTTTGGAAGCCAGAACTACGGTGAAAACATGTTTTGAGTGAAATTTTCCAAGAGCCTGACTTGCAGGAAGACATAACTCTAGTTATCGGGAGAGAACAAAATGGCTTCGATTGCAAATTAATGATGAACATTTCATTAAAAACTCCTAAAACAATTTATTTTTCCCCATATAGCAGATCTAAAACTTGCGCTTAATCAAAGAATGTGGACAAAGCTGAATAAGATATGTGGGACGTTTGTCGTTGACAGACTCCTCTGTAGGACAAACTAGTGGGAACAAAGAACAGAATTGGATTTGTGCTGTTTGGACTGTATGGAAACCAAGATCTCACGGACTCCTCGACAAAAACTTCAGTGAATTTTTAAAGGTCGAGTAAATGTTGTGGAGTGAAATATTTCAGCAAAGAACAGAATAGTGATGTCTAGGCCTCTCACAGGTAATCGAACCAGGAAGTAGGCAGAATACAATGTGGCGACTGGCGACACTTCTCGGACTGAGTGAGGAGATAGATTTCGTCATCACTGGAATCACGCAGTTAGGAAAGAAATAGGTACTTTTTTCATAAGCTCAAACATGTCTAGACAAAAACCGACAAAAAAAAGCTAAACTGAAACAGGAACCACTGCGGACCGCAGGAAATGACACATCCTACGTAATAAACAATTTCTGCTGACAACACAAATGTAGAGCTCTGTCGAATCATTTATCATTTTTAAAGATGTTGGTGTCATCCATCAATATGAATAAATCTGATTTATTTTCATTAGTAAGCAGTGGAAAAATACACCGATTGTCTGTCTAAACTGCAGCTTCAGCTTTATCACCTTAAAACAAACCACACAAGCTGCATGCAGCAGTACATTTTAACAAGGTGATGCATTGCTCACATATAGAAAAAACACCCACATCAAAACAGAAAAAAAATATGGTAACAAGTGTGTGGGTGGACACAAAGCATCGAAAAATCATTGGCAACTGTGGGTGGCATTACAAAACATATTTTGCACATAAATATGCACAAAAACCTACGATTTGTGTTTGCAGCGCAGTCACTAAGTCATTTTGAATCTGAATTGTTTGCAGTGTCACAAGAAGCAGAGTAGGATGTTTTATCATAGCACGCCGCTGAGTTATACCTGCAAATAATTAATAAAAATCAAGAGACATAAATTCACAAGTGCAGATTACTTGATATGCAAAACAAAACAAATCTCCCTAATCCTGTAGAGGTCATTTGTGTATTGATCAGAGAGGCTCATGATGCAGGGGATGAAATGAAAAACAGCGGTGACGTCGCCGAGAGGTGGGGGGAAAGGTAAATGCAGACAAAGGCTGACAAAACAGCAGCAGCGTGAAGTGGAGCGCAGGGCTGAGGTGACACACAAAGAAATGGGGGGGAAATGACGCCAGCTCTTCTTCAAGCGTGAATGTGTTTGTGTGTGATGTGGTGGGGAGGACATCCGATCTGCATTCCAACTGAGCCTGGAGAGGGTCCATCTTCATCATAGACCCCCCCCCCCCCCTTAAAACACTGGAAACAAGCAACAAGGGCAGATTTTTATTTTTTATAGCTTTGCAACCTGAACTCCAAAACAGTCATGCAAATCAAACCAGCTGCAGAGGAGAAGGGGAGGGAGATACAGCAAGACAAACAAAAGACTGTGTTGCAGAACAGGAAAAAGAAGAGACAAACCTAACATAGAATGAGTGATTGGATATTTGTTTAAACAAGGCAGGCAGGGAGATCAAAAATAAGAGTCTTACTGTGATAATGAGCAAATTAAGAGGGGGTAGGTTATTAAGTCACAGTCAAATGCAAAATGTGTGCACTTTAAGTGGTTGTAAACTAACCTGCACATTTATTTCAAATGAAACATATGCTTGTCTGTAGAGTAGGAATCAAAAGGTTTGCAAAAATAAGCATAAACACTACCAAAAAAACATAAGTTTAAGCTCAAAATACTGTGTCTTTTGTTCCATTTCTGGACACAGGTCTGCAGCAAACGTTTTTTTTATTGAAGGGGGAGGACTGCATTCGGGACAGCGCCCCCTTTCTGTTGCAGAATGTAAAAACATCAGTAGGGGAGAAAAACAACTTTGATTGGCAGTCCTCCTTCAGCCAAAAACACAGCACAAGAAGGATCCCCAAAACTAAGATGGGCTGCAAGTAGGAGATAAAAACCCGAATAATCTAGGTTTATTCCCACCAACAGATTTACACTACTGTGTTTAATGACAACACTTAAAGCGACTGCATTACTCCACAGCATCCTGATCACTATTGATTTTTATCCTAAATCCTCAGAAGATGTCACCTTCACTTGCCGCTTCCCATCAGGACAAAAACAACAACAAAAAAACAAGCTTTTTATGAAAATACGACACTCGTCTAAAAAAAAGCAACAACAAAGATATCTCTGTGCAGTCTAGTATAAAAAGGAAAGTGGGCATATTTGATGCTTGTCTTTGCAGCGTCTCAAACCACTGACGGGCTTTACGTGACATTTTAACGACTAAAGATGGAAACCTGCCCCCTCCTCCCCTCTCCGGACGGGGTAAGTAAGTAAATGACGCCGAATTAAGCTTCATAAATCTCACTTCGCCCTTTCTGACATAATTTAGGCCTAAACTTTGAAACAGCTTCCGTTTTAGGAGAAGTTCGGTTCGGCTCTTGTTTGTTTGTTGTTGAAGCTAGCTTACTGCCGAGCCGCTCCGTTACTTCGTTAAAAAGTTTACGAACTGAAACGTATTAAAAGCTAAGCTAAACATTGTTTTACTTTAACAGCTAGCAGTGAAAAACCGATAATTTAAAAACAAAAAAATGGCTTTTTTCAGGAGGTTCTTTCTTTTTCTCTCTCTTGAATTCACGAACAAATGAATGAACGGTGGATAACCTACCTGTTTCTGTACTCGATGGCACTGCGATCTCAAGGGATACTCCATTTTATTCGTGCAGATTATCATTTTCCACTAAATCTGTGCTATGACATGGATCCGGCTGGAGTGTCTCTTGATGCTGTCCGAGCTCGCTAGTAAAACAAACAAACCAACAAAGACGGAAGCGCAACTACCGCTGGAAACGACCTGGCGGTGTGAAGCTGTAGCCGGGACTAAGCGGAGAGGAAAGTTTCCAGGAGCTGAGCGACAGCTCCAGTAACAGTGCGTCCAATCAGAGCTCAGGGGGAGGAGCTAACTGCCGGAGGGCAAAAGCTAAATGCTAATGAGCATCTGCCAAACAGCAGAAGCAAAAACAGGCCCGAAGGCAAGCCGGTTTGTCATATAATAATCTAACGTGCTCCTTCAAGCGGATTTAAAGGGATGTTTCAGAAAAAAAAATCTCACGTGCTGTAGACAGTGCTTTGAATGTGGCTGTAATTTTGCTAGGCTGTCTGCCTTTACACTACAGGCAAAAGTGGCCCTATTTATTTATTTATTTATTTAGCTCTGTCACCTATCTGATTATTTTAAGACAGTCTAAACTTGACAACTTTTTTCTCAACTTTCATACTACCCAATGTTTTTCAAAAATTTAAATGCTATTTTAACTTTAAGGGACACTATTAAAACATCTTAAAAAGTATATGTGTGGTTTGAATATATGTTACAAAGCCTGCCATAACATTCAAATTTCCAACTGCATACAAGTTCCTATGGAACATAAAAGACACCGCTGTCCCAGCGCTTGCTGGAGGACATTTTCTGCTACCTGAGCTACCCATAGACAGATATTCTGCAGTCCTACTCCAAATCATGTGCAAAAAAGAAACTCAATTTCAGACCTAAATGAGACAAAACAACCAATGAGAGTTTCAAAATGACTGCAATGAGAGAGAATTTGGCTATAGATGACATAACAAGAAAAACAAGAAAAATGTGGCACAAAATTATCTTTAAAGAGGAACAGAATAGTCTCAAAGAAATAAACCCCAGCAGGTAAAGGAACTTGATGTTGTTAGAGGTTTTTATACTTTATCATTTTTGTATTGATCATTGCATTAATCAGTTGTATTAATCAGGTTCTTTGAATGTATAATCACACTCTTAATGAATTTTGTCCTCTCTGCTGCATGGCTGAGAAGCAGGCCTGTCATAAATTCCAACTTCTGCTGCTCTGCTGATAAGACACAACTCTCTGTGATGTGATTGCTCAAGATGTGTTTTCTCTGTTCCCTGTGTGAAATAAAGTAACAGCTTCCCAAGCAAAGGCCTCAGAGCTTTCTCCAGACACCTGGCCGTCAAAAGCTAAGTGTTCATCCAGAAATCAATCACTTTGCAAAGGTAAACTGATCAAAAATGGTAAACGCATGTCTGTTTGGTTTATTTCATTAAGGTGTAATTAATTTCAATCCAGCAGATGTGGTAACCATGGTTTAGTGATGTTTTTCAAATCAGGAAAAACACTGAGCAAAAAAATGTAGCCTACTTGCGTCACAAGAGTGGCAGATGATTCACAGGCCAGGTTTGAGCAATTTAACGAACCGGGCACTAGAATAAATAATGAGTCAAAAAGCAGCCAAAAAATAAATAAGTAAATAAAAAGTTTAATAATCTTCAAATAGGATAGAGAAATGTTCCACTCTATATCCCAGGAAAGTCTGCCTGCAGCAATTGGTTTAAAACAGCAGAATGTCCTGCAGGGGAAAAAAATGTAAAGTGCATCCAAATAACAAGGATTCGAAACAAAACAGTAAGCAAAAGTGTAGCTTAAATAAACACACACACACACACACACACACACACACACACACACACACACAACTGCTTCAAAAGAACAGCCAGAATGTTCACCAACTTCATAACCAAGATATTTGGGCTAATAAACTCAGTTCAGGTTTTTTTCCACTCATCTAACCAAGAAAACCTGTATTTAAAGTAAAAGATATAATGTATTAATCTGGAACCAGAACTTAAAACCAGGAAGTTGAACTTAGAGTAAAGGACAGAGCTAAAATAAAACAGGATAGAAACCAAAAACCAGAACAGAAAACAGTTTCAATATAAATGTGGGTGACAGACTGCTACTTTAGGACAGTTGTGCTAAATGTTCAGACAGATTTTATATAATCCTCAGCCTCTGACTAAAAGTGGATTATTTATTATACATCAGAGAGCATCATTAATTCTTTTATTTCATAATATAATAATATAAGGAGCACCTGCTGGCCTTGATTGAAACAAGCATTTACAACAAGATTCCCAGTGATGATCTCAATCATCAACAACAACCTCCCACTGTCTGTGAGGTCTGCTGGGCCTCTAAATGAGTTTAAGTCTCTGTTAAAAACTCATCTGTTTAAACAGGCATTTGAGTCTGAAGAGCAGGATCATTAGGCCAGCCTTTGCKGTTTYRTTTGATTTTATTGTTCATTTTATTACTGTACTTTGTTCATTGTTTTTATTTTATGCTCCTGTACAGCACTTTGGTTTTTATTGTGCTTTATAAATAAACGATGATGATGATGGGTAGCCATGGTTCTGCTAATCAGCTAACAGCTCATTTTTTGATTAGTGGATTAGCTTTTTACGAATGTTGAAAACCATTAGCAGACCAATTAGCTTCAGCAGAGTTGTAAAGTAACTTTGTACAATTTTTGGGTATCTGTACTTTACTTGAGTAATTTTTTTCAGCCTACCTTTTACTTCTTCTTACATTTTCACACAATTATCTGTACTTTCTACTCCTTACATTTTTGAAAAAGGCAAGAAGTAGAAAGTCATTATTTTTTATTTCATTTTTGCTTGTTTTCATTCCAGCTTGTTATTATAAAAAATAAATACTATACATATAAACTGTGCCTCCTAGATAGAGTGAATTTAATTGTAGTTGAATGAGAAGTATAAATATAAAATTCTGATACCGTATTAGTTCGTACACAAACAAATCATGTCACACTCCAGCAGGACAAAATCATTAAAATAAAAGTACTGTACTTAAGAAGTATTTATATTTCATGAATTATATTATTGTATTTGGCCGCAGCCCTCAGATAGATTTTCATTTTGGGGAAAATGTTTGGGCAGCCTTGATATGGATATAAACTGAAACAGCTAGACTATACAATATAGTCATTTCTGCATTTTTTTTTTGAGGTCACCTACTGATAAATGTCTTTACTGAAAAGCTAACTGCTCATTTTAAATCAACACTTTTACTTTTAATACTTAAGTACAATAAATGTTAGATACTTTAAGACTTTTACTTAAGTAATTTTCCTAAAGGAGACTTTAACTTTTACCAAAGTAATTTTTTGGTAAGATTCTTGTACTTTTACTCAAGTATCAATTTGTGGTACTTTTTACAACACTGGCTTCAGCTAAATAAGGTTATTTAAGTCTGCTAACAGCTAACTAACAAACTAACCAGCAGGTTTGTGTTCACCAGCAGTTAGCGATTAGTTGTTAGAATTAGCTTCAGCTATTAAAAAAAAAAAAACCATATTTAGCATGAACAAAGCTATAATTTTAGTTAGTCGATTAAGAGCTAGCAGCCAAAAGCGGCCGTTTTCTGCATACAATTATTTTCCACGGTTTTCAAAGTGACAAGGATCGCTTTCTCGAGATAACGAGTTCATTTCCCGATGGGTTTCCTCTTGTGTATCATTCAGTCAAGTCAGTCTGACTGACTGACATTTAACCAGGCAAATCCCATTGAGATCGCAGATCTCTTTTGCAAGGGCAGCCTGGGCCTTTATCGGTGACCAGCTGAGGGGATCGGGCCATCTCCAATGTTACTGAATGATGCACAAGAAAACGGTAACTCGTTATCTCGAGAAAACGATCCTCGTTATTTTATGATAACAACATAATGTCATTATCACAAGAAAATGCGAAAAAAAATTAAATGTGGAAAACGGTTACTTTCGGCTTCCGTACAAAAGCTACCCTTTTTGGTGCCCACCACTGAAAATTCCTAACTTTCACTAAATTCTGGAGTTAACCAGATTCAAGATGGCCGCCACAGCTAAACACTTTTAATATTTTCTTTTATAATTTACCATTATGAGATCGCAGATCAATTTTTCAAGGGAGGCCTGGGCCTGAAGGCAACCTATTGTACATGTTTTTTGGGGTGGGGGAAACCGGAGTATCAGGAGAAAACCCACGCAAGCATGAGGAGAACATGCAAACTCCACACAGAAAGACCCCAGGTCCAGATCGAACCCAGGACCTTGCTCTAAGGCATCGGTGCTAACCACTGAGCCATTGTGCTGCCATAATAATAAACACCAAAAGGGCCATAACTCAGTTTTACAGATCCTGAGTTAAACTTTGGTGTACCTGAAAGTCATCCCCACATACTTTGAGTGAGCATGAGATCTTTGTTTAAAGCTTTGGCGTAGATGGCCAGCGATGTGTATTCTTTCAAGGAATGCTACTGTCATTTTCATAGTTTTCTTTACTTTTATGACTCAGTTGGGTTTTTATAAATCACAAGTTTGGAGGAAGGTTCTTTCTAGATGTAAACACTGGACACATATTTTATGCTCCATTAACTCCAGCAGTTTTAAAGATGCTCTGCAGCAAACTTTTATAAACACTGACAGAGTCAGAGGAAATAAAGCCATCTGTGGGCAGTGATCACACAGTAGAAAAACACAGGATTTTATTTTTCCATTATACAATCTGTAGCATTCTGATGGGCCATTTTTAATCTCTAAATGTCACCAGTTTTCAACAAAGCTCTTTTTGTTAAAGTATTTTTAGCCAGAAAGTCCAGGCTGTGGTCAGACTAAGCCTTCTTCAGATAAACATAGGAAAACAGAAAACAGCTGCTTTCAGTAGTGGTGGGAGTCAGGATTAGTAATTGACTGTCACCAGTAGTTTTCACCAAGAATATCCAGGGAAATTATACATTAATTAGTACCAATAAAGCAAAGTAAATGTCTATAAACCCAGTTCAGTGCATGGAAATTAATTTAGAGAAAATGCAGTGTGAACACTGAGTGATGATTAAACTGGCTGAAAATGTTTAAAGAATGGTTTGTTAATTAACTCAAATAGTTATGATTTAAATAAGGCAAAACATAAGCTGAAATCAGAAAAACTGCAATTAAAAGTCAAAATTACTAAAATTGTAGCTGAAGCTAAAATTAGCAAAACAGTAATAAAAGCAAAAATGATACAAAACCAAAGCTAAAGGCTGTGTAGCCTAAATTATCTAAAATGTTGCTAAAAGCAAAAATTCAAACAATAGTTAAAAAGGCTAAACTAACAAATTTGCAACAAAGCTAAAATAAAAAAATACAGTATGCAAAAGTTTACAAACAGAAGCTTAAAGCTAAATGCAGCAAAACAGCTCAAAGTGAAATAATGTAAAGCAATAGACTAAATGCAGTAACACCAGCTAAAATTATAAAAGCAGTAGCAAAAAGCTCAAGTTAACATATTATAGCTAAAAGCTAAGAATAGCAAAACAGTAAAACCAAATCAGTGAATCAGAGATACCTGAGTATTAGCAACACCTCAGTTAGGTTGTAAGAAATCTATTAAAACCTCTGCAGCACCTATGAAACAGATCTACACCCATGATTAGTTTATTAGTTTTATCAACATTTGTCCAGTGGTATAGCTGTAGTGTTTTCCAAATTGTTGGAGAGATTTTTCAGTTTATTGTTCGTACATGTTTTCTTTGCTCTGTTCAGTCTATCTGATCTCTTTGAACATCCTCAACCACCTCACCACAGCTCTGCCCCACATTTCACTATGCAAATAATGCATGATAGAGATAATAAAATGCAAAATAATTAAGTGTTGGAACAGGCTGTTGCGTTTCAACCCTGGTCCTCAAGACACACTGCCCTGCATGTTTTAGAGGTCTCCCTGCTTTGACACACCTGATTCAGATGATTGCAGTTCATCAAAAGCCTGCTAATCAGTTACCAAATGAAATCAGCGGTGTTTGAAGCAGGGAAACATCTAAAACATGCAAGGCGGTGTGTCTTGAGGACCAGGGTTGAAAAACTTTTATATGTTGGTGGGAATTATGTGTTTCCAGTGCCCTGTCAAATTCAGCCTTTTAGTTTATGGTTTTTTGTTCTCAAAATGGCCCAACAGTCAGCTGCTGTTGTATTTGACTGAAGGAAGATGCTTGCTAACGTTGCAGCGAATCCTGTTTCCACTGAAGTGAAAGTGGAATCAAACAGAGGGGACTTTCCTCTGAGTGAAACCTGTCAGTCTTCTGCTTGGTCCCTGTGAAGGATTTCCAAGAGCTTCGCCAACTAAGCCAACCACAGGTGAAACCAGTTCTCGGCCTTCTGCTAAGACATATTTTGCCTCCAATAAATTGGAAGATGACTCCTTTATCTGATATCTTAGTGGATAAAACAGTTTCCTGTTGAGGTTGCATATAGCTTGAAGTGCCAAACTGGAGTTCGTGCTACTTTTCACCGATTTCCTGTTTCAGAAATCCTCTGCCATGAAGAAACTCTAAGCTTTAAGAAATGAGGAGTCAGCGGTGTTGTATCAACATCAGCAAAATGGAAATGATGACTAAAGGTATTACAGTTTCACAAAAAGTTGGCACTTCATTTGGACATACTGTACGTATTTTACAGAGGCAAAGCGGGCGCTGCGCTGTACCGGTCCGTCGTGGTGAAGAGAGAGCTGAGTCAGAAAGCGAAGCTCTCGATTTACCGGTCAATCTACGTTCCTACCCTCATCTATGGTCATGAGCTTTGGGTCATGACCGAAAGAACGAGGTCCCGGATACAAGCGGCCGAAATGGGTTTCCTCCGCAGGGTGGCTGGGCTCTCCCTTAGAGATAGGGTGAGAAGCTCGGTCATCCGGGAGGGACTCAGAGTAGAGCCGCTGCTCCTCCACGTCGAGAGGAGCCAGTTGAGGTGGCTCGGGCATCTGGTAAGGATGCCTCCTGGACGCCTCCCTGGTGAGGTATTCCGGGCACGTCCCACCGGGAGGAGGCCCCGAGGAAGACCCAGGACACGCTGGAGGGACTATGTCTCTCGGCTGGCCTGGGAATGCCTTGGAGTTCCCCCGGAGGAGCTGGAAGAAGTGGCTGGGGAGAGGGAGGTCTGGGCCTCCCTTCTGAAGCTGCTGCCCCCGCGACCCGACCCCGGATAGGCGGAAGAAAATGGATGGATGGATGGATGGATGTATAAAATAAAAAAGACTAAATCCTGTGTTTGTTCTTGACTGGGGAAAGATGAAGCTCAGTGCTTAGTCTGGAAGGACAAACGATAATGAAGCACAAGGTTACACATTTAAACATCATCCCACTTTGGTGGCACAGCTTGGCTCAAGGTGCTTTCACTTTTATCTTCTCCAAACATACTTTTTTTTAAAGCAAAAGCCTTTAAGCTCAGAAAGCTGCACACAGTGTAGCTTTGCTCAGAGGTCGTTTTATAATTGACACAATTCAGAGAACGGTGTGGTGCTTCATTAGGCTTGTCCTCAGTTATAGATGTTGACCTGCAGTGAAAGGACTGTGCAGGGATTACACAACGAAACAAACAAATCACTGACATGCAAAACACCAGACCTACACGAGGAGATTTGCCTCAGTGCAGACCGCCATCCTCGTGAGGAGAAAAAAAAGGACACATTTGCACTCAAACATACAGCAAACAGAGACGACTAATAAATCTTACAAGCCGCACACTTAGAAATACAAATGAACTACAACTGATAAGCTGCTGGAAAAGTACGCCGTCTGCTGTGACGAAATAAAACTCCTGCTGGAGATAAACTGTAAGAACTTTTCACTTTCCCATCATCCAACCAAAGTCATAAAATGCTACATATGTGATCTGTGCAGGCAAAATGTTTTTAATATGGAACAATTCATCTGAAAAGCTTCAGTTTGCTGAAATTGAACCAAGTATCTCAGTTGGTTCACAAGCGCCGGCTTGAACACTTGTTTTTATTTGTCTATATGAGTGTCCAATCCTGAGCTCTGATGGCCTGGGTTTGACTTGTTTGGTTAAAATACTTTCCTAGAGAAATTGTTTTTCAGTTTTGACTTCTCCTTTTAACATTTTAATGCAATTATCTGTTTTTTCTACTTCTTACATGTAAAAAAAATCATCTTCCTTTTGACTAAAAACCCATCAGTTTCTAAGATTAGTATCCAAATAACCTTCTTGTTGTGTTAAAAAAAAGACATTTCGAAAAGTCAGCAAATAAATCCATTATATTTGAAAAATAAAACTCATTTCACTCAGAGCAACAAACATCCGGCAGACTCGTGGGAAGACAGGTTTCATTTCAACCCGAGAGCTTTGTCTAAAAAGTTTGCAAAGTTCTTTGGTTGTCCAGGTGGGAACGGCTGCAGCACAGACAGGTCCATGTTCCTCAGTGTCTCCGTCAGAGTGCTGAGCCGGTCCAGGACAGAGCAGGAACACAGAAACAGTTAACATCGTTTGGTTTTTACCACAGGAGTAAAGCCTGAAGGTGTGTGTGAGGTGAACTCACCTGCACGTGCAGTACAGCAGGTGGTGGTCCGTGTGCAGCTGCCTGGCCAGCTCCAGCTGGTGGTTGTTCATCAGTTTGTCGTTGACGACGACCAGCAGAGGTTTGCCAGCGCCGAGAGCCTCCAGACAGCTTCCTGCTCCTGAGGAATAAAAAATAAAATGAAAAAGGATAAAGATGCTTGTTAAATTTTAATTTAATAAACAAACTCAGTGTTAACTAAAAGAAATAACTCGTTTCTTTACTCAGCTTTATTCCGCCATGTGCATCCCCCGAACAGACATACAGAGAGCGACGAAGAAGAACACAAACCCAAAACACATGCTCCTGGCATAACAGTGCCCCTAGTGGGTGGACATGTAATACAAATAAAACAAAGGAGTAACACTCTCCCACTTTTCTTAAAAAATAAAAAAAACAAAACAAAACAAAAAAAACTTATGAGAAAACACAGTCATTAAGGATTTTGTCAGAACAGTCTCAACGTAACAGAAAGTGAAACAT